AAGATAAAAAGCCTAGCGTCTTGGCTGGTAGGCAGCCTGATGTCCTCTGGGGCAGGCAGAAGCTTGATTGGCTCAGGAAATGGTGTCATGGTGGTTGGACTGGTCTTGCTCCTCTCTTTCAGGAAACTCAGGGCAATTCAATAGCATGTTTCAGGGACAAACATATGCTTCCCGTACTTGATACTATCAAGGTAATTTTATGGAGGCGACCTGGGGAGAGGAATGAAGGAGAGAAGTTGTTGATATCTCTTTGAGTCACAACTCCAGGGATAAATATGGGTAATGGTTATAATACTCTGCCTTTCTCCAGCACTTCACATCCAAAGGTTTCAGAGCACTTCACAGTCATTAATGATGTAAGCATCACAACTCCCTTTGGGGAGAAAGTGTGGCCCCATGGTTAAGGCACTGTCCTAGGACTCGGGTTCAATTCCCTGCTCTGCTGTAGCCATCATGTGTGATCCTGGGCAAGTCACTTAGCCTCTCTGTGCCTCGGTTCCCCATTTATGCAGTGGGGTAATAGCACTGCCATACCTCATAGGGGTGTTGTGAGGATAAATACTTTACAGATTGGGAGGCGCTTTGAGGTCTATTGATGACAAGTGCTATATAGGAATTATTAGAGTTGGGAGACTTGGGTACTACTCCCAGCTATCCCAGTAACCTAATCTGTGAACTCACGCACATCACTGACCCCTCTGTGCCTCTGTTTCCCCTCGAACTCTATTGTCAGTCTCGTCTATTTAATGACAGGGACTCTCTCTCACTATGTCTGTATACAGGGTTTAGCACAATGGATCCCTGATCTCAGCTGGAGACTAAGTACTACTGTAATACAAAGAAATAATAACAACCAGTTAAACTAAGGAAAGTATTATCCCCATTTTACAGATGGGAAAACTGAGGCTGTGTGCATGTAAATAACTTACCCAAGGTCACGCAGGAAGTCTGTGACAGTCAGGGATCTCTTTGCCTCCAGTTCTGTGCTTTAAGCACAAGACCATCTCTTCTCATAACTTGGTCTACACTATAGCTAATACATTGCACTTGTCTGGCACTTCTGATCTGAGAGAAATAAAAGACCCTGAGCTTGATTCAGCCCTAAGTGATACACTCCAGAATGCAGGGATCCTGGCAATGGAAAATGTAATAATATTTGAATTGCAGTAGCATCTCGGAGCCCCAGTCATAGACCAGGACCCTGCTGTGCGAGGTGCTGTACAAACAGAACAAAAAGACAGTCCCCACTCCAGAGCCTCCTGAGTGGGGATTGCAGGAGGCAAGGCACCCATAACCTCTACTCCACTGCAAGACCAGAGCTGGTTAGTGCAGCCCCAAAAGTGAGCTGTACCTGGAGGATTCCCTGATTCAGCATATCCTCAGGCAGCCTCTGCCAGCAGGATCCCTATGGAGCTCTGACCATCCTTTTAAAGCTAACCTCACTTGGTTAAACCTGGGATGATGCCAACAGTGTAAACACTACCTGCCCTGCTCCAGGAATGAATCCCTCCTGCACACGGCACCCCGCACTGATGCATGGGGTTTACAGGATGAATCACGGCCCCAGCAGGGATGAATCTTGCCCCCAGACTTCCAAATATTTCCCAGCTTCTTAGTTTTAGCATTTGCAAGTTGCGCCTTCTTTGTATATGGTTCTCTGTGTTGTTCTGGTGTGTGTGAATTTGTCAATATCTTTCTGATCTGGTGAATCTCTTTACACTAATCCCCGAGAATTCTTCTGTGGAGGCCAGAGCTGAGCAGCATCAGGCGTCCCGCTGTTGAACTCAGCCATCCAGATGGTTGGACTCCAGCCGGTGTTCTTGTGCTTTAGTTGAGCTGGGGAGGAGGTCAGAAGGATTCATCCAGTAGTCAATGATGGTGCTTGTGAGAGTGAGAGGTTGATAGGACGGGCTATAGTGTGGACAGGCAGGAAGCATGGTTCCCCCAGTGCTGCCACCACACCTCAGGTGTGTGGGGGAGCTCAAAGCCCCGCTGCACCTCTGCACAAGACAACCAAAGTACTTCAGTTGTGGCCTGCAACAATGTCGGCTCTTCCAGGAATGAAACACCCATGAGCAGATAGACATCTGCCTATCGATGTCTTTCCATATAGGGGCTAGAACTGAGATTGCCACATTCATTTCACTTATGACTAACCCCAGATTTGAATTCAGTTCTGCAGAGATGAAAAGTGAGGGAAAGTACTGGGAAAACCCCTTGACAAGCCAACTTTTTTTTTAAGGTAAAGAAAAGGTCTCAGAATGAAGGAGGGCTTCATCACAGCTGTTTGCTAAGGGCTGTCTGGATGGATGGCAACACATTTGTGCTCTTAGGCAGGGTATTCAAGTGTGAATTCAGGGCAGTTGGGTCAGCAGGGTCTGGGAGCTGTAAAGAGGGGTTTGTCCTGTGCGCCCTCCTGGAGGAATCATGGAGACGTGGTTTCAGAGCACTGTGGTGTGCTAATTGCAATTCCAGATCAACCAAGCCTACGTGGCAAGAAGGTGTTGCAGGGGGACAAAAATACTCAAAAATATGGCCGCCCTGCCTTTAACGCCACTCTGAGATGCTCTTCTGTTGTTTCATAGAAAACTCCAGCTTTTCTTAGTGCTTCTTTCAGGTTGACTGTCCCCAACTTGTTTGGTGATAATAGCAGTCATGATTTCTTCTCAGCACTCTGGAGCAATCGGAGAACGTAAGAGCAAAGTGAGGCAGCACAAGAGCCTAGACGAGAGGGTTAAGGGCTCTGTCAATCTGCCCTCTGCATTAGAACTAGAAGTGACAATTGTTCCAGAGTTTGCATATTTGGGGAACAAACTGCAGCACTAACCTATGAACAAGGCTTGTGGTCAAGTAGGTCCAAGAGGAAACTGAGATCTTGCGCTTCCGGTTCCCTCCCCAGTTCTACCACTGAGACACCATCAGACAGAACGTGCTACCCTTAATTAGGTGGAGTGGTTCTTTCTACACAAGTATCCATTGATTATAGGGCATTACCTACAGAGCATGATACTATTCGCTGTGAGCAACAGGGTCGAAACACCCCCATGAGATCTTGGGCTATCTCACTTAGAGCCAGAATATATACCCTTTACCCGCACTGGTGAGCAGTTACAGTGGGACTGATTACTTGCACGGGTAGATTGCTCCCTCATGCCAATAAGGGGTTCACCGTCTGAGTCTTGACCTCTTTGGGCTTCAGTTTTTCCATCTGTTAAATGGACATAATGGCACCTCCCGCACAGGTGTGCTGTGCGGCTTAATTCACCCAAGTCTGTGAAGTGCTTTGAGATCCTTCAATTAAAGAACATTCTACAAGTGCAAAGGATGATTATTGTTTAGGAACTGCTCCACTTATCCCCCTTAACTCTGCTGATGGTTGATTGTCCTAGTAATGAATACACATCCTGTTGGTAGCAGAGCACGTTTAATCTGGGGTTACCCCTCAGCCCTCCACCCCCAATACAAGGATATATGTAGATAGAAAGCTTAGAGTGTTTGTTACTGAGGCGGGGTTTAGGGTCAGGGAGTTATTGCCTTCTGTCACTGACCTTGCAAGACTTGTTGGGCATATTTCATGTAGAATGCTGGAAACTGATAATTTCTGATTGTTTTCTCTTCTTGATCACTTATTCCGTCACAGCACATCTGTCCTCATTAGGCTCTCTGTTACAGTGCACCCCACTGCCTCTTTGCACCCCAGTATAGGGAACCTGCTCCATCCTATACAAGACATATTTACCCTAACAAATAAGTTACTTGGTCCTCAGTCATAATCTTCTCCTGTCGCTATTTCCCAGAGACTGCACAGTTGGGAAAGAACTCATGGCATGACTAGCATGACTCTCAGTTAATTTATATTAAGGTTAATTTATATTAAGTCTCTTGCCCCTTGCCTCATGGGGAAGGAAGGATCTAACCTCCCTTTACAGGATATAGATTTTCGCGATAGAGTCTCTAAAAAGAACAAGTGTAAAACTGGAGAGTGTGTATCAAGATAGAGATCTAGAGAAAAATGAATATACGATGTACAGTGTGCATTTCCTCCTTGTCTTCCCTCCTTTAACATAGTAAGTGCCCAGAGGATTTCCTCCCTTCTCCCCCCATCCCCCCCATTCATTCATACGGCTGCATTTTGACTTTCCAAGGTGGCACCAGGCATGTGCAACCAGCCCCACACCCTTTTGGCTGAAAAACGCTCAGTTTGGGGCGATGGAGCCAGCCTGTCGTCCGTCGCTAACCCCCCTCTCCAGGAGGGAGCGCTTGCTGCTTCCCCCCCTCTTTTGTGTGTGTGTGTGTGTGTGTGTGTGTGTGTGTGTGTGTAAACGCCTGTGCTGTTTAAATGGGCTAAGTTAGAGAAGCGGCGGCGAGGGGAAATCTTGTTTGGTCAGTCTCCGAACTGCACCGTGTGACTCCTGAGAACCTCTCCCCCTGTCTGTCCCGGGGGCGAGGGGGAGCCCGAGCCCCCCGCCCGCCACACGTAGGGACCTACGGGACAGGGGCAGTGCGCTGGGGGGGGGGGGGGGGGGACAAGCCATGTAGCGGCAGCATCCCATTAGGAGGGTGGTGACACAGTTGGTCTTTAATGATGAGGATTCTGGCCAGGAGGGGAAATGGACTCTCATCGCAGTAAGGACCGGTCATTAATAAAGCCGTGAGCAAAGGCAACGGCTCTGCAGCTTGCCGGGGAAAGCGGGGCAGCCCCGAAAAAAACTTCTTCTCTTGCCTGGTCAAACTAGTGGGGAGCGGGGGAGGGCGCGTTGGGAGCCACGGCGCTGTCCAGTTTGTGCAAGCGAGGGGAGGGAAGAGGGAGAGCAGGGGAGGGCAGGGGTTGCGGGGTTTAATTGTCATGATTAAATAAAGAAAAGCGAGGAGCCCGGTCTCCTTTGGCGCGGGGCCGTGTGGCGGGGAATCCTCCCGCGTGGTAGGAAGGTGGGTCGATCGGGGAGGGGGTGTGTGTGTGTGTTGGGGGGATCAATAAGTGTTTTAAACCAAAATAATGTCTACGGCAGCAGGGACCGCGCCAAGATGTCAGGTATTAGTCCGGAGGGGCAGATCCGTGAGCAGCCCAGCGGCTCCCGGGTCTACGGTGCATTAGCCGCTCGGTGGGAGAGGGATCCCGGGCAGCTGTGCTGGGGACCCAGCCGCGGAGATTTGCGAGCGGGCTCCCCCGGGGGATGCTACCCGCCACCTCCGGCCCCCGAGAGCCAAAGGTGCTGCTGTTGCGGCTGCCGCTGCTGGCGCGTTTCATCCAAACTCCAGCCAGCGCGGGGGCAAGTTGCGCCGGAGACATCAGAGCCGCTGCGCTTTGGAGAGGCGAGGGCGCCCTGGGAGCGCGGCGGCACCATGCCTGCTATCAAGAAGGAGCGACCTGACAGGGAGGAGATGGCCCTGGCTGCCTTTAACCAGCCCATGGAGACCTTACCTGACTATCTGGCCCCTTTGGCGGCCGCTGCCATCCCGGTGGTGACCCCCCACCCTCCGGCTTACGACCAGATCTTTGCCCACCACCACCGTGCCTACCTGGGCTTCCACGAGACCCACCACCCGCACCACCCCCATCACCGCCTCCCCGAGGACCTGATGCTGGAGCGCTTTTCCTCCATCCCGGATTTCCAGCCCTTCTTCGACAACGGCGAGCCCTGCATCGAGGTGGAGTGCGGGGAGAACAAGGCGCTGCTCTACATCAATAAGTTATGCCAGGGCAGCAAAGGACCCTCCATCCGGTACCGGGGAGAGTGGCTCACCCCTAACGAGTTCCAGTTCGTCAGCGGCAGGGAGACCGCCAAGGACTGGAAGCGGAGCATCCGGCACAAAGGTAAGGGCATGGCTAACGTTGCTCCTCGGGCAGGGGTGCCCCGTGGCACGGCTGTCTGCCGCGCACGCCCCTCTCCCCAAAGAGCCAGGCATTGTGAAAGGGGGAGGCTGGCTGCATGTGAGCATTGGATTGGGGGATCCCTCTGTGATCCCTGCCCCCCTCTTTTTAGTGACACCCCCTCCGACTATCAGATCCCCCCGATACCGGGCTCTCCTGAGCGGGACGGGAGCTTGGGGGTAGTCTAGAGGGAGGGGAGTGTCGGCGGGGCGGGGGGGGGGTTCACCCGGCTGCAGAAGTTTCATTCAATGTGAACAGCAGAGGCTGAGCCATAAGGAAGGTTGGGGGAGAAATGTGAGGGGAGCTGGGTCTAGAAATGACTGTGGATTAAAGCGGGGCGGCGGCGGGGGGGGGGGGGGTTTACACTCGGCGGGGTTTGGGCACTTTTCTCCGCACCTGACACAGCCACGCAGCGTGAGAGGAGCTGGGGAGGCTGCCGGGTGCGCGGCGCTTCGAAATTGACAAAAGGGTGCAATTGCCGAGCGGCAGCAGCCCGGGGGCCGCACTGCTTTGGCGAGACGGGGCGCTTGTTGCTGGGGTACAGGCCGGAGCGGGCAGCGCTCGGGTGAAGTAAGTGCTCGCGGGGCGAGGGGGGCAGATATTTCCTTTTGGGGGGTGCGTGTGTGTAGTTGTGTGTGTAGTTGTGGTTGAGTGCACAGTTGTGGTTCTCTCTCCGTGTCGTTGTGGTTGTTGTCTCTGTTTAGAGCTGGGTGAGCAGTGTGTGTATAATTGTGGTTTCGTGTGTGCGCGCAGCTATGTCTGTCTCAGTAGTTGCCCTGCGTGTGCAGTCGTGGTTGTCTCGGTGTGTGTACAGTTATGTGTGTGAAAGAGTGTAGTTGTCTCTGTTTAGCGTTATCTGTGTGTATGGTTGTGGTTTTCTGTGTCTTGTTGTTATCCGTGTGTGTGTAGTTGTGTGTCTTTATCTGTGTGTGCATAGTTGTGGCAGGGTGTGTGGGTCGTTTTATCCGTGTATGTATAGTTGTGGCTGTCTTTATAGTTTGTGTGTGTGGTGTTATCTGTGTTATATATAACTGTGACTGTGTGTGTGTGTTCTTGTTATCTCTCTGTGCATATAGTAGTGGCTGTCTGTGTGTAGTTGTCTCTGTGTTTGTGTAACTGGCTGCATGTGTGAGTGTGTGTCTGGAGAAGGGGGGGGGGAAGTGAGTTTGGAAGTTGTGAGTGCTTGAAGCAGAAATGTGCCGGCTTGTCACTCCAGTTGCTCTGTAAATGAGGAAAGGCACCTCGGGGACGGGGGGGGGGGTCCCAGCCCACCAGCTGGGTGGTGCGGGACCCCGGCGGGTCTGCCTTCTGCTGACAGCTGCCCGCCTCCCCTCCCCCGGTGCAGCTGGACCCGAGCGGGGCCGTTCCAGAACCCGGGGACGGCGGGGAGGATCTGCGGGTGTCTCCGCAGGTGGAGAGCTGAGGACTTGGCTCTCCCTGGGCGCGCTGCACAGGGAGGCGGGGGTGGGGGGCAGAGGCGGAAAGACGGAGTCAGTGTGACATGTAATTAGCTGAGAGCTGGAGGTGTCAGCCCAGGGGTCTGAAGAGCCATTAGGAGGTGACTGACACCTCGCCTTGTTTATTGATCGCCAGAGAAGAGGGGAATAACTCCAGGGGCCGCTCTAATTATTATTATTCTCCTCATTTTTTATCACTGGGCTCCTGGCTGTCTTCAGGAAATCTCAGTCCCTCTGGGGTGAGTCAGGAGGACTGAGGTTAAATGGATGGAGGAGAAAAGGGCGCGGGGGGGGGGGGGAGCTGTCTCGAGCTGCCTTGTGGTTTGCATTCAATATCTCCTCCGTTGCTTTTAATTGCAAATGCATCCCTTACCCGTGCCCAGAACGGCACCGGGGTGGTGTGTGCGTGGTGGGGGAAGGGGGTGGACATGCCGGTCTGGAGCGCCTGGTTGTTATGTTCATTAGTCATCTCTCCAGACTGCGAGAACATTTTTAACAAGGTTAGAGGGAAGCTAATGAGGGCTGCGCTGGTGGTTCTCTTCCCGATTTCTACAGGGTAGAAAGTTCAATTAAGGTACACGCATGAGCCATGTCGGGTGGGTACTGGTGGGAACGGGAAAAGAAGGGCTCTGTGAGTTTGCGTGGAAAGATCCGAGTTGCTTTTTCTGCAAAGCCATTTATTTTTTTTTACAAAACAGTGCTGTTTCTTTTTCTTCTCCTCCTCTGCATCCAGGGAAAAGTTTGAAGACTCTTATGTCCAAAGGAATCTTACAGGTACATCCTCCAATCTGTGATTGCCCTGGGTGTCGAATTTCGTCTCCAGTGGTAAGATTATTGCTAAAATATGTGTTTTAGTCAAATCTCCTCCCCCACTCTCTTTTTTCCATTTTTTTTCTTTTCCTTCTTTAATCAGGAACTGTGATTTTAAAGGGCTAGGGACTGTCAGTCACTGAGCCTTCTCCAAAGTGCTGTTTTGCCCTGTGAGCATAGCTGCAGCCTTGTTAAATGTCAGAGGAAGAGGAGGTTGCAAACAGAGCAGCTGGGCAAAGCGGTGCTTAAACTAAAGGATGTAATGCAGAGTATGCATGTGTGATTGAGGGGGGAAACATCACAGCTATGCAAACTGCAAATCATTCTCCAGCTCCAGCCTCACCCCCCCTTTGTGTGTGTGTGTGTGTGTGTGTGTGTGTGTGTATGTATTTTACGGAAGGGTAAAGCAACTGAAACAAAGGAAATTAAAAGTACCCACATGTTAGGATCAGAATACTCATGCAAAAGGTTTATGAAATCTAGATAAATTTGAGAAGGATTAACAAACATATTTTGGATTTACCACCTCCTCCCTCCAGAATAAAACTTTTATAACATTCTCATCCTTGACAGTGATCATTGTTTTTATAGCTCTATTTTGCTTCACCTTAAACATTGAGTTCACGGTGCTTTCCATCCCCCCATCTGAGTATTTCTTGGGGACTCTTAAAATCTCATTATGTGTGACATCAGGATTTCCATGGAGAAGATGGTGATGTCATAAATACAGAGAGCTGCAGAATCAGAAGTGTGTCTTGCATAGAACTAAGACATTAAAAATATGTATAGCTGGGATATGTGTGTACACTGTAAACATACAGTTACAATTATTTTCATCAGTTAGAATCCTGTTTGGTTCACATTACTAAACTAAATCCTGGAGTTGGAAGAATCATTGTAACTGAATGCATTTTTATAATGAGAACTGTGGAAACAAATGCTATTCTGTATTTTTTTTTACCCAGAAGGATATTTTTTCTTCTGTTGTCTTTATGAGGTCATACATGGTAAATCTCCCTGAAAGTAGAGTATCTTTATTTAGAATCCCAGATTTAAATGATTCTTCTGTGTATATTCATATATATATGCATGTTTAAATGAAAAGTTGCTTAGAAAAATGTTAAGTAAGTGGCCTGCAGAAGTCAAAGCAAATATATAATCTGTATTAACTCTTTGAGAGCATATTGTGCTGTAGCTGTTTACACTGAAAAAGTCATCACAGAACAAAACCTAAAGATACTATTTATCTCACTATATAATTTTTCAATTACTATTTCACAATTAGTAAGTCACATCGGGTGAAATCCTGGCCCCACTGAAGTTAATGGGAGTTTTGCCATGTACTTTAATGGGGCCAGCATCTCGCCTAGGGTGACCAGATGTCCTAATTTTACAGGGACATTCCCGATATTCAGGGCTCTGTCTTATATAGGCGCCTATTACCTCCCACCCTTGTCCCGATTTTTCACACTTCCTATTTGGTTGCCCTAATTTCACCCATAACATTTACTACCATGAGTAATCTCATTGACTTCAGTGACACAACTCACAGTAGTAAGCACTATGCTGGGTAATTAGTGTTTACGGGGTTGGGCCCTTTGTGCACTTTTTTTTTATTATTGACCCTGCAGATCAGAGAGGCTCCTTTACTTTAGTCCATGGTGTCTGCAGAGCACTTGCTGATGGTCTCTTGAGAACTGGCTGATCACATGATGCTGGCTGCTCCTCACTTCCAGCTGCTAAATTGCATTAAAAGACAGCTAAAACTACACTAAATACTTTCCTAAGGTTACTTTTCTACATAAGCAATTGCTGTTGTTGCCTTGGGGATGCTACCTGATTGCAAGTGGGAGGGGAGTTGTCTTGGAGACTATCTCCATGTTAAAATGTGGTCTAAACTGAAAAAGTTCGGAAACTCCTGATATCAATGGATATAGGTCATTTAGTATTAGGAAAGGAAAAGAAAATCCTTCTTGACATGTCTCCCAGCCCCCTTCTCCCAGTGAGATGAAGTAGAAAAGGTTTTGACAGCAGAATAACCTTTATTCTGATTCTTTTAGCACAGCAACTGGGTTTTATTTTGTTTATTTTTGTGTAGCAATCAGCGTGCTCTTGGCATAATTTTCCTTACTTTGAGCGTAGCTCATGCTATGAGAAAGCTAACCATTATTTTCATAAGCTTGTTAAAACCATTGAGTATGTTGTAGTGTTCCAGAAAGACAACCTAAAGTTATTAAGAAATGACTGAAGTGAAAGATGGAGATAATTATATTTGATAAATGTGTCTTAATACAAGTCCTTTTAAAATAAAATGTTCTTTTCCTTTTTAGAAATTAAAATGTAAAAACAATGCACTTATATAGCATCTTGCATAATAGGGTCTCAAAGCATTTGGCAAACTCTAATTACTTTAGCCTTACCACACCTCTGTGTGGCAGGAAAGTGTCATTATCCTCATTTTAAAGATGGGAGTAGCTGAAGTACTAAGATGTTTGAGCCGTTTTGCCAGCCAGGACAGAAAACATTTTTGTCTCCCTTCCCCTAAAAAAGTCTGAGTGGTGCAGCGCCCCCTGAAAGTTGGAGTCTAGGTCGATCACCATGTTTGTTGGCCCTCAGAACCAGCTCTGAGTTTGGGGGTCTGATTTTCACCTGCAGCTCCCCTTGACTTAATCTGGAATTCTGTGTACTCAAGCCCCGATCCTGCAACAAGATCCATACAAGTGGCCTCCTGCGTTCTCATGGAACCCCACAGACTTGAGTGGGATTCTGCACAAAAACAGGGCTGCACTTGGTAGATCTCATTGTAGGACTGGAGCTTAAGTGACTTGCCTGAGGTCACATTTGCCTAGGAAAACTGCATCAGAACAAAGAACAGAATCTAGGTCTCTTGACTCCCAGTCCTCCGCTTTAACCACAAGACTATCCTTCCTCCCTTGAAGGAGAACCTTATCGATGCTAACTTTACTCTTCTTTCTACAACCCAGGAACAAAAAAGTGAGTTACTATCCATGGACCAAATCCCACTTGCCTTACTCACATGAGAGGTTCCTCTGGCACTTTACTTTCCTTTATCAGGCAAGCATGGTTTAGCTGGTTCTCTTTCCAGTGTATACTGGTAGTTTTACATTAAATCTGGAATCCCCTGACAGTGCGCTGTGGTATTTGCATGTACTATATATTCAAAGCAATTATGCTAGGAAACAGTTAAGAAATGGGGACAATTTATCTTTCCCTGTCTGATGACTGTGGTTTAAGAATCAATGAGAGCAGGGGGCTCTTAGCCATACTACACAGAACTTACTGTATTTTATATTGTAGATACAGCAGGAAAGTGTGAATTACACCCGTGAGACCTGGGTCCCTCTGACATGGTTGTATCAAGAGCATGCAATGAAACTGTGGGCCCCATACTGTCCAGGGAAGTTTATACTGCTGGGACTCTGGTGTAAATGAGATTGGCCTACTGTCAACAGGAATAGGCCAGCCAAGCTCATGAATTGTTTTTGAAATGGGGCAGAGCCAGTTGCTTATGGGTGAGTTACTCCTGTTGGGGCTGCAAGTTGAGAGCAGAATGACCCAAACACCTGGCCCCGCCCTCCCTTCTCCAAAGGTTACATTGAGTTTATCCAACTCTTCTACCCTGTCAAATGAATTTGTAACATCAAGGGCTTTAATCAAAATCAGTGCTTGCTCTCAGGCCCTGTCTGGGTCCTTTGGGGTCTGATAAGGGAGGATTGATTTGGAAAGTAAATTGCATATTGCTATGGAACCAGTTTGGGAAAGCAGGAGATTTAGGAGCTGGAGATTTTTACCTTGGGCCTGAACCTTTTACCAGCTGCTGTAAAATTGTTGGAAGCAAAATCAACCCAGTAAAAGGAAAGAAAGACCCCTTTTCCGCACAGCTTCTTGGGCAGGGTTGACAGAGGGGAACATGGCCAGCCATTGCAAGTGAGCTCCTGTCTGCCAAGGGTTCAGGAGGAGTCATTGTTCTCAGGGTATCTCTCTGCCTGGAATGTGCCCTGGCCTCCCAAAGAGGGTCTGCGCAGCCCTCCCCAGTGCATGGGTCTGCAAGAATAAGCGTGTGTGTGTGTGGGGGAGGGGAGTGCTAGAGCAATGCCAGACCTAGCAGGTCACTTGTTTGGTGCCTTCCCAGCTTGGCTGCCCCTAGGCAGCTAAGGAACTGGGCTGGGACTTCTGATGTGGATCCCCCCTGCAGTGAGGTTGTGACAGGGGGTGCCCCCCCACACCCCTGCATTAGCACCGGGCAGGTCACACACACAGAGCAGCAGCAGCAGCAAGGAATGCGGCTCGACTCCCTCCCCCACCCCCCCCGGCAGAGCCCGGATCGCTCCCCCCCCCCGCCCCGTCGCAGCTCGTTTGCTGCAGCTGCAGACGGCGGCCGGCGCCTCGGCTAGTTCTGTGACCGACCGCTGGTTTCCTGCGAGGCGGAGGAGGAGCAGCCGCGTCTCGCCTGCTGCCTCGGCGTCTCCTCCCTCGGGCAGCGGCAGCGGCTCCCCCTCCCCGGGCGCGTCTGGGAGCCTGGCCGGGGCATCAATCAGAGCCGCGCGGGCCGAGCCCACCGGGCGCGTGGGTAATCAGGCAGACAGGCGGGGGCTTGCAGGGGGGTCACTCCGGGGCTAGGGGCGGACAGACGGACCCCCCCCCCCAGCCCTGGTTTGTGGCTTTCATGGACACAGGCGCTTGCAGGCAGAAAAAGCTTTGCCATTAGGTGAGTCCAGGCACTGCCCAGGCGTGTGTTCCCCGAACCCCCCCCCCCGGCTTTGCAATTAAAGGGGGCTGGAGCTCTCCGGATTTTATGCATCTTTTCTAAATCTTCAGCGTTAAGGAGAGTTTGCATTGCATAGGCCTGCACCCCGATTTCCCATGCACCCTCTATGTTTGTGGTTAAAGAGAGCTAGACACCCCCCCACCCACTAGGTTCATGCACCCTCAATCGTTGCAGTTCAAATAAGGGTTTATTTTGCCCGGGTCTCTACCCCTGTGTTTTCCTGCTC